GTTATTATCTAGATATAGATACTGATGGTTTTATTGGGACCGGGTCCACCATAAACCGGGTATAGGAACATAGAACGGGGGTAGGGCGCTAAGCCCAGAACAATGCGTACAAAAGTCCGAAAATCGTTATGCGTTGGACCCGTGTAACAGTGCCGTTAGGCACTGTTATCTTTTTTTTTTTTTTTTTTTTTTTTTTTTTTTTTTTTTTTTTAATTTCAGACCGCTTCGTTATAGGAGTATATGTTCATAATTTTATTACTATATGTTAAAAACTGTATATTCATAACTCCATAACTGTACTTCATAACTCTATAACTGTACATTCATAACTCTATAACTGTACATTCATAACTCCATAACTGTACATTCATAACTCCATAATTATACATTCATAATTTTCGAAGCTCTATGTTCACAATTTTAGAGCTCTATGTTCATAATTTTATCACTATATGTTCATAATTGTAAGTTCATAATGTTAGAGCTCTTTGTTCATAATTCGATCAATAACTGTACATTCATAATTCCATAACTGTAGATTCATAATATCATAACTGTAGATTCATAACTCCATAACTGTAGATTCATAACTCTATAACTGTACATTCATAACTCCATAATTGTACAGTCATAATCTTCGAAGCTCTATATTCACAATTTTAAAGCTCCATGGTCATAATTTTATCACTATATATGTTCATAATTGTAAGTTCATAATGTTAGCGCTCTGTGTTCATAATTTCATAATTGCATAACTGTACATTCATAACGGCATAACTGTACATTCATAATCCAAAAAAAAAAAAAAAAACGCCGTTAACGGCAAAACGCGCACGATTTTTTTAAAAACTAAATGACGCGTTTTTTTTTTTTGAAAAACGACGTCGTTTTGGGCATTGTGGACACGGGTCCAGGGCATAATTTGCCAAAGTCCGAGGTACAGGCCCAAAATGGCGATCCAAATACAAAGAACAAGGCCCACAAGATGGGCTATTATTAACTATTCTACTGGTAGGAATCAAACCCAGGTGACTGCATAGAGAGTATGATATCAAGACCACTAGACCATAATGCCTGTCATGTTTAAGTTGCCCTTCGCCAAGGATCAAGGACCCATATTTATAGCATACTCCCCTCCTCCCTTGGCGTCCACGTGTCCCACATAATCCATCATCACTCCCCAATTTATCGCTACGCAAGCGGACACGTTCGCCGTGGCGCCACACCATACCGCCTGCACCACGAGACCCCGGCAACGCACACCACCCAACACCCCATCGGGAAAAAGGGGGGGGGGTGCCGTTGACATGCCCGGGGGCGCAACACCCCCGCTGGCCGCGCCGTGGCCTGTGTTGGCCGGCGGGACCTGCCGCAGGCCGGTCATGGCCGGCGGTTAAGGCTGCCCGCCAGAGAAAGTCGGAACAAATACATTCTGTTGCGCTTTGGTACACATGTGATGGTGTGGTCTGATGGTTTTGGTCTCACGCCGCTATGCGGGAGGGCGGGGGTTTGAAACCTACTGGTAGTAGCACCCACCCAAATTGTTGCATTTTACCCTTGGCCGCGGCGGTGGGGCGCAGCTGGGAGTCCGGTGGGCCACCACCCCGGTCGATCGCCTTGCATTAATATACACCAGGATACCGATTGAATGATACATAGTTTGATAAATTCTGAAACAGTCACATTAGGCACTAAACATAGTTTGATAAATTCTGAAACAGTCACATTAGGCACTAAACTATTCGCGCAATGCGCTCGTGGTAATTAGTATATATATATATATCCTTTATATAATAAAGCTATATGGTTTGGGAAATAATTAATGTTACAATTAATGCCACAACATCCTTTATTATAAAAAAAAAACACACAACATTTAAAAAATAAAATAGCTAAATATTATATAATCATATAAAAAATATACTTTTGAAAAATAAAATAGCTATATATTATATAATCATATAAAAAATGTGTTCAATTAGAGTTTAAATTTATAGATACAAAATTTGAAATTTGCTTTCCAAATGTAATTATCTTAGTTATTATTTGTATTGTGAAAATTATAATATAGATAAAATACAATTAAGAATAAATCAATGTAATTATGTAAATTATCTCTATAAGTTTATTTGAATATGCACATAATTAGAGATTATATTAACCATACAAAATAAAATAGCTATATATTATATAATCATATAAAAAATATTATTTTGAAAAATAAAATACCTATATATTATATAATCATATAAAAAATGTGTTCAATTAGAGTTTAAATTTACACATACAAAATTTGAAATTTGCTTTCCAAATGTAATTATCTTAGTTATTATTTGTATTGTGAAAATTATAATATAGATGAAATACAATTAAGAATAAATCAATGTAATTATGTAAATTATCTCTAATAAGTTTATTTGAATATGTACATAATTAGAGATTATATTAACCATACAAAATTATAATTATAATTATAATTTTAATTTTAATTGTAATTTTGTATTCTATAAAAATAATAAATACTTGACCAATGGAAGCTCAAAAATATTATTATATTAAATAATTTAAAATATTTTAGTTTTTTTATTTTTTTATTATATTTATAATAACATAATTTTTTTCCGTGCATCGCGCGGGTGAATTAATAGTATATATATATATATATATATATATATATATATATATATATATATATATATATAAACTTAAGTTGGAAAAAAAGGTTTAATTTAGTGTACTTTAAGAGTAGACCATGATCAATGGTATAATAATCTAATATTTTAGGCAATTACTATAAATTAAATTAACATATATAGCATTATGATATTATTTAATTCTATAAAAAATAATTGTATTTCAAATTTCAAAATAGAAGTTAATTCTATAAAAAATAATTGTAATTTCAAATTTCAAAATAGAAGTATTCCATATGATTGGCCGGAAAAAGACACTAGCTTCTGTTATATATATATATATATATATATATATATATATATATATATATATATATATATATATATATATATATAATTTTTTCATCTAAATAGTATGTCGTAAATATGTTTTCAAAATATTCTTGAATAAATTTTTTATCCATGTTTTCAAATTTTTGTACAAATTGTCTTTTTAGCAGGCATTGTTTTGAGAATTTATATTTCAAAATATTACTTTTTAAAGCTTTGCTCCTTCTTCTTCTCTTTACTACTGCCAGATATGATCTTTCTTAATCTTATCAGTTCATGTTAGTTTTTATGCTTACTATTTAATCATATTTTATCTAAAACCCTCACCTTTTCACCCCTAACCTACTACCGGATTTCTCCGTTTACAATCCTAACAACATCTATGAACCTTATTTGGGTACTCTTTTCCCTTCCTGGTACTTCTTCCCCAAAGGTTTTCTAGACTACATGGATTGCTTCGGCTCAAACAGGATTTACGTCTGTTGGATTCAGATATACATATGATTAAAAATAAGAATACAAACTAACACAAAGTAAGAAGATTATGTTGGGATCATACCTCTTAGTAGCAATTTGAAGAAGTTGGAGCAAAGAAATTTAGTGTGAAAATTTAGAGCGTATGAACAAAGGGGTTTTCATTAGGATGCATAAGGTAGATGGGCCGTTAAATTTGGGTGTGTCTTGTGCAGTTGAGCCGTTAAATTTGAGCCATTGCTTGCCTAAATCAACGTTTAGGATTAACAAAAATAAAAAAAAAAATGTAGTGACAATTTGGTCATTTTGCATCTAGGTCAAATTTAAGGTGCGTGATTTTCCTTCTTAAGATGCGTCGTTTTCCTTCTTAAGGTGAGTATTTTTGTACTGTGTGGGTTAAGGTGCGTCAATTGTTGAAAAATTAAGTGCGTCAATCTAAAGCTTTAGGTGCGTGGTTTGTGTGCTTAAGGTGCGCCAATTGTTGAAACTTAAGGTGCGTCAGCCTAAAGCTTTAGGTGCGTGGTTTTCCTTCTTAAGGTGCGTTGTTTTCGTTCTTAAGCTGCGTGATTTGTATGTTTAACAGCTTAAGGTGCGTTAGTTGTTGAAACTTAAGGTGCGCAATTTTAAAACTTTAGGTGTGTGATTTGTGTTCTTAACGTGCTTTGTTTGTGTGCTTAAGGTGCATGATTTGTGTACTTAAGGTGCACTATTTTAAAACTTTAGGTGCGTGGTTTGTGTTCTTAAGGTGCTTTGTTTATGTGCTTAAGGTGCGTTGTTTGTGTACTTAAGGTGCGCTATTTTAATGATTAAGGTGTGTCGTTTTTTGTTAACCGTACAACCGCACTGAAAGCTATCTCTGGACCAGAACTCATCCATATAATAATAATAATAATAATAATAATAATAATAATAATAATAATAAAAGTTCATACTTCGAACATTTTTTAATACGTTGATGAATCTCACACACACTCACTATTGAGGTTGCTGAAACAATTAACTGACCACCATGTACATTAGACAGCAATAGCAGTACTAAACATTTGTGCATCTATGTGATTATATACTCTAACAATGCCAAAGTGCTTCTATGTGATTATATACTCTAACAATGCCAAAGTGCTTATGGTCAGGTGGCATAGTTGTGACTCTTTTAAATAGGAGGTCACAGGTTCAAACTTCAGTAGAGACATTGATTCTTTGTGCTCTTTACCCGTGGATAGAAAATTGTGATTCTATATTACATTTTGTGTTTCTTCTTTATTAGGAGATTTAGCGGTAGTTTATGAGTCATTATCTAATGACTAGGTGAAGATGATATGACCATTTGACTAATAGGGATTAGGGTCATGTATACTAACTCTTAAAAGAATTTTTAATACACCCAAGTGGATGAGTAGGGCTGTTAACAATTTAACATGAACGAACAGAGAGGTTGTTTGTGTTCGTTTGTTAAGATTTTTGGAGTGTTCGTATTCATATTCGTTTGTTAAGGTTTTTGAAAATCTTGTTCATATTCGTTTGTTAAGCTTTCATTAGTGTTCGTTAATATTAATGAACATATTCACGAACATGTTCGTTAGTATTAGCGAGCACGTTCATGAATGCTAAATAAACAAACACATTTACATGTTCATGATCAAAATTTGTTCGTGAACAATAAATAGTCTATGTTTAGAAACAATAACCAAACAAACAACATAATCTATACTATAAAAATAATAATCCGTACAAATAAGTCCAAAAGTAAAATCTAATATCAAAGTAAAAATATCAAGTCCTGAACAAAAAACACACATACACACAAAAATTGTTTGTTCACATTACAAGCAGAAAAAAAAAAACTTAAAATATGTTGTAATTCTGCCTATCAACTCGTTAGTTCTCGCGTGATGATTACACGGTAATAGCTTGGAGATATGTATGTATGTATATGCGTGTATGTATAAAGAGAGATAAAGGAGAAGAAGAAGAACACCAAATGTAGGGCACAACAACCATATCATTTCATTAGCCTTCACTATCAATTTATAGGAATCCATACAACCTTTCATATCCTTAATCATAAACAATGTAATAAGTGGAAGGCAAATGAAGAGACTCAAGATTAATGGCCATAACGAAAATATTTATAACACTCCCCCTTGGCCATTATCTTACCACACTCATGCCTCGTTAAAAACCTCGCTAGAAAACCCAGTGGGAAAAACTAGATGAGAAAAAGTGTACACAAAGTATGTTAAACTATTGTGTTGCACCGGTTGCCTCATTAAAAACCTTAGCCTCAGAAAACCCAGTGGGAAAAAACTTAGCCAAGGAAAAGAGTACAACCATAAGCCTTCTGGGCATAATCTTCAAGATTTCAAGGGTCTTCAGGACTATCCACTCAAGTGCACCAACATCGGTTGCCTCATTAAAAACCTTAGCTAAGAAAACCCTGTGGGAAAAACCTAGCTAAGGGAAAAAGAGTACAACTATATGCTTTCGCAGCATAATCTTCAGGATATCAAAAATCCTCTAGATTGTCCATTCTAGCACAGCTAGGGGTTGTCGCTCCACCTGAAGATAACAATCTTCTAAGCCTACGCATCCCAATTTTATAAACATATTACTCAAAAGTGGATGTAGGCAGAGACTTAGTGAACATATCTACAAGATTGTTCAGTGGGGAAAACATTCTCAACAAGAATTTTACAACTCTTCTAGAGTTCATGTGTGTAGAAGGATTTAGGTGCAATATGTTTTGTAAGGTTCCCCTTAACAAAACTATTACTTGCTTGTGCAACACAATCTTATTTGTCCTCATATGGGACATTGGGGGTAAAAATATAGCATAACCAGTTTTGGACTTGGCATCATATGGATCAAATAAAAGAACCAGTGCCCAAGTTGCCCATCAAAACCACATATGGGTTTCTCACATAAACGTCAAAAACTTTGTACCTCGAAGGTGCTGAGGATATGTTAAATATCATTTACAATTTTCATTATAGGGGGAACACTAAATGTTGCTAGCAATTTCATTGCAAATTCAATATCAGGCCTGATGCGATTATGGAACTTCTAGTTCAATAATAATGCTCCAATAGCAATGAAGTAATGGACTTCCAGTCCCTAAATATCCTCATTATAATCTTCGAGTCTAAATGGTCATTTATCTACTTCAAGAGATTATTGGACAACCCTTTATGTGATAAGTAAATAATACTTGTCTATATAAAACATCTTCAAGATATTTTTCAAATAGGCTAACTGGTGTATAAAACTTCTTCAAGGAGAAGCTCGATCTTCAGGTCGAGACAATACTTGGATTTCCAAGTCTTTTATTTCAAAACTTCGTCTTTCGGCATGAGCTGATATCACCAAGCTCTCTATGTGTTTCAATAACATTTAAATCATCATTACCGACTGAGATAATAAACAAATAACTCCATTAGCAATTCTTTAACAAACACATAATGGTACATATTTGCATATTCCTTCTTCGGGAGGAAAACACTCAGTCAATAATATTCAAGTCATACAAAGACTTTAGTAGTTTAATGATACACGTTGCCATTTTTCACTTTCATAATTTCAAAAGTTTTGAATTCATCAGGGATTTACAAATAAATATTAGCGTCTAACGACCGGTAAGTTTGCGGTCATGACACTCATCAACTGCATATCTAAATTTATAATTCACTGCCAATAATGTTAATTTGCGAAACGTAATGCCATATGTTGTGGGGGAGAATATTTGATCAAAATTAATTCAGGGTCTCTGCGTAAACCCTTAAGCTACCAGTCTCGCTTTATATCATACCACCATATTGTTTGTATTTCTCTTTCGTACAAACACCCATTTGTAACCTACAGGGTTAACATTAAATGGTGTACGTGTTATAAAGAGAATACAGTTTTAGCGAGCTGAGCTGTACATGCCTTAATTGCTCCGTTATACATAAAAAATACCAAGGCACAACTGGTGCCTAGCTTTGGATCCAGATTCTTATATAACGAGAACAATTTGTAAAGACAATTTTGTTGTCGAAAACTATAACATTTTTCATAAATTTCTCCCATATATATAAAATAATGACAATTTCTAATTCAACCAGACTCTAGACATTTCCCAAAGATATTTTTATCTGGTCGTTCCGCATCCCCAGTATTATAATTTTGGGTGCACCTAAAATTTTACTGGGGTTTTCGCCTTCAGGACGAATGTCTTCACGACATACTTCTTTAAGCGATTTCAAGAGTGACACCATTTTCTACTAGATTTAGCTTTCCGCGGATTATACCAACATGTCTCCACGCTTCTGGCGTCAAGGAGCATTGGTAGATATATATGGTCCAAGTTGGGGAAAATATATAGGACCTAGTCACTATTTTTATGAGTATATATATTGGCAAATTAATTATCTACTGAACTTCTAGTTCAGTTTACTTCTTTTGAACTTCTAGTTCAGTCTACCTAGTACGTGGATTTAAATATTGAAGATCAATCATTCATAGAATTTCTCGGCATTCTATAAAATTTGAGATCTTATCTCCCCCTAATGCCGTGAAATGATATTCATAAAATGTGCAGTCAGCGTACCTAATTATATATTGATCCCTTATCATGGGCTCTAAGAATTTAAATAACAGAAGGAGGTTTATAATCAACATATACATGCCCACAAAGGTACGCTATGGTGGTGATATAGGAAAAAGATTGCACACTGTGAATAAAATGCAGATGGGAAATGTTTGGTTTTATACCACGTACTAGGTTCTAGGGGAAATAATTATGATTTGCAGTAGGTCAGATTGTGATAACCACAATAGCATATAAAACTGATGTCCCCAACAAGAAAAAAAATATATAATCAGATATGAAAGCATACATATCAATTGATATTACAAGGGTACACAACAATCATAGGGAAGCTGTGAAGCTTGTCATATAAAATATATCTTCAAGATCTCCCAAAAATCCTTATCCTCAACTTTACATTAGTTCACTCACTGGTTTGGGAATTGCATCGTGCAAATTCACATGATATAATTCATTCCCTCATTTGCTTCGGGCAAACTAATAAGAAATAATTTAGTCCTTCGTTTGCTTCAGGCAAATTGATATGATATGATCCAATCTCTCGTTTACTTCGGGCAAACTGATATGATATAATTCGCTTCTAGCTTTCAAACCAATAATATCTAAATCAATCATATCATGTATGACAATAAGTCAAAGATCATTTTTATAAAGGAGTATACCACTCCATAAACAGCACAGAATTGTACTAAGCCATATTTGGAGAGGATTTTGTCATGTTGACATCATAAATTTAGTCAAAAGATGATTATCATAATTTGTTGATAATAGAAATCCTTCCGGGATTGATATAGGATTTATGGAAAAAATAATAATTCAATTTTGAATTAACAACCAGTCAATTGCATACGAGAGTCATGTTGCATGCATGAGAACAAAATTGAGTAAACACGCATGCAAATTAAGAGAAGTACATGAGAACAAAATTGAGTCATGTTACATTTCAGATAGTTAATCCGAGTAGTAAAATCAGCAAAGTAAAATCACTTTGCCCTCATAATAATTTGCGTCCAAAAATAACTTAACTTTCCGAATTTTGCGGTCATGAATTTACTTTTCGGATGCTTCAGGCATAAACTAACTTCTCGGATGCTTCAAGCATAAGCTAACTTCTCGGATGCTTCAAGAATGAGCTAACTACTAAGATACTTCATGCTTCAGGCATAAACTAACTTTTTTTTTTGGCCATGAATATATTTTCATGCATTGTTCAAAAACATTATCATGACACCAATCATTTCTTCATCAATACCTTATCATTTCATTATTAAAATTTATCACAATATTTGCTTCAGGCAAATTAGCTAGAATCATCAAGATGATGTTCATTCTCCGATGACCAAATGCTTTGGTGTGCGGCACGTAGGGATCAATGCCCTTCAGACCCACATTGTTAGCAAATCTGCTCCTGGCTAAGATTTTGCCTCGATAAGTTTGGTCGTCCTTGAATATCTTGATCACTTTATTTCTTATTCTGAGCTCGAAACTCATACCACACTGGTTATAATCTCGACCACAACCCCTTATGAAGTTACTCAACTAGGTAACATTATGTGCTTCAGGCACCTGTGCAAAATCAACCAGACATGCATTTTGATTCTTCATCAACAACTAGTTATATTTCTTAGCCACAAGGAGTGCTCAAATCAGCTTAGGATACTTCTCATAATTTTGTGTTGTACTACTGCTGGAGTACAAATTACTCGCATGAAAAGTTGGCAATGTCTTTTCAATTAAATATTTCTCTAAAATTTCTTGTTTAGAGTTTCACTTCTGAGACTATTTTGTGCATAGCAGAATTATAGTTAATCACTGACTTATAATCTTAAAATTAAACTAGTCAAAATGTGTCTTGGGGAAGAACATTTGATGACTTTTGGTCGGAATAGTCCTTCAGGGACTTCCATTAATTCAAGGGGTTCTTTTTCAATCAGATACTCATTTTTAAGATGGTGGTTCAAGTGGTGACATATGAAAATGAGAGCTTGTGCCTTCTGGGCATCGGTGCTCTGTGACTTAGCAACAAAAGCTTGGCTCAATTCTTTGGATGCCAAAAAAAATATTTCAATATCCAAAGTCCAAATGAAATAATTGCTATCGACATGAGCGAGCTCAATAAAATCACATTTGACAATTGAATACGTAATCTACAAAACATATATCATATGTTCTCATATACATTCATAATATCACATGTTTATAGCAAAATAAGGAATTTAACATCTTCTAGATGCAAAATGAACTTTCCGAGATGAAGTCAAAAGATAAAATCAGAAAACAAATTGATCTTTCGAATATACACAAAAACCGAAATGGTGCAACACGAATTGGTGAGGCAAACACCAAATTGATGCGACAAGCATCGACTCGTGTTTATACCATCAACTCGTGCTACAAGCAACAAGGCACGAATCGGTGCGAAAAACCGAATTGATGCAGCAAGCATCGACTCGTGTTTATAGCATCAACTCGCGCTACAGGCAACGAGTGGTGTTTCATTCTCCAATACACCGAATTGATGCTCCCAAGTCATCAATTAAACTTTAAAGTCTTACTCACTCTTAAGCTTCAACAAAATAAACTTTAACAATCTTAATTAAAAACCATTCATTCATTGCCTAATCAGGCACAAAAACGAATTGCTAATCACATGCAAATGACATACCATAAAAGCATAATAATGCACTACAACATAGGGTATATAACATACAAAGTATGCGAAATGAAAATAATATGTATACAAACATTGCATCTTCATATGAAAAGCCCCATCTATTTACACAAACATATATATCACATGCTTTTCTTTCAATTTTAAGAATCAAAAATAAAATTGAAAATATATATTCAGGAATTTACACAATCATATATATATACGAACCAATATGAGCAATTCATATTTCAAAATATAGAATCAATATGTATCATATCAATCATGCATTTCATAATCATATCAAGAGGTGTAGAATCAACATGTGCCATATAAAACATGTATTATATGAATCCTATGAACATGCTTGCCTAGTTTAAAAACATGTATTATAACAGGTTCGAGCATACCGTTCACCGAGGAATATATTGGCAATTCGTGCTGATAACGTGTTGTAATTCTGCCTATCAACTCGTTAGTTCTCGCGTGATGATTGCACGGTAATAGCTTGGAGATATGTATGTATGTATATGCGTGTATGTATAAAGAGAGAAAAAGGAGAAGAAGAAGAACACCAAAATGTAGGGCACAACAACCATATCATTTCATTAGCCTTCACTATCAATTTATAGGAATCCATACAACCTTTCATATCCTTAATCATAAACAATGTAATAAGTGGAAGACAAATGAAGAGACTCAAGATTAATGACCATAATGGAAATATTTATAACAAAATATAAGATATTTATATTCCACATTGGTCATTCCAAAAAGTTTAAAGTAGTATACTAGTATATTAAAACTAAATAAAATAAAATAAATTGCATTTAAATGAATTTGTTCGTGAACAATCTTAAATGAACACTAAACAAGCATGTTTGTGAATATTATTAGACGAACTCTAGACGAGTATGTTTGTGAACATTATTATACGAACACTAAACGAGCCTGTTCATGAACATTATTAAACAAACGCTTACGAGCTTGTTCATGAGTTGGAGCTCTTAGCAAATGTGCCTACAAATGTTCAGACTCTATTCGTTTATTAAACGAGCTCTAAAATTTGGTCATTTATGCTCGTTTACCTTAATAAGCGAACATAAATGAACGCTACCAAACACAAATATGAATAATTTACCGAAAGTTCTGTTCGCGAACACCCCTATGGGTAAATTTGAAAAAGAGAATCCCTTCTTCCAATTTGACTTGAGTTGAATGTATGATCATGCAATTTAATTATATTGTACATTAAATTTAATAGAAATAAACCAAAGTACGTACTTAGGGGTGAGCGACGGTTTGGGTGGTCGGAGGATCAACCCACTCAGATTTCGGATTACAATTTTAACATCCAATTATGCTTAAAATGCAAAATATCCTTTCGATTTTATTTGATTTTGGTTCGGCCGGATATCTGAAGAAATATCGGATAGTAAAAATTAAAAAAAAAATAATAGAATTTAACAAAAGCCTTAAGGGTCTGTTTGGAAACCCAGAAAATGACTTCTGGAGATCATTTTTCGGATTTTTAGTGTTTGGGAAGGCTGAAAATAAAATGGTCAAAGGAAAATGCTAGTTAGTCAATGGAAAATGAGGGCTAAAATCCAGAAAATGACTTACCTTTTTTTTTTTTGGCTGAAGTCATTTTCCATCTTCCAATCAAAACACGCTCAAACCTTCTTCTCCCAAAAAATGACTTCCCCTTTTCGATTTTTTTTTTCAACCTTCTTCACTGGTTTCCCCAGCCGGAAACCAAATCCCCAGCCGGAAACCAGTTTGGTTTCCGGCTGGGGAAACCAGTGCAGTCACTGGTTTTCAATCGGAAACCAGTGCAGTCACTGGTTTCCGATCGGAAACCAGTGAATTGGTTTTCCGCATCGGAGACCAGATCTGGTTTTCGATGCGGAAAACCAGATGCAATTTTTTTTTTTTTTTTTGATTTTTATGTCAAATCATGTTGCTGATATTTTTTTTGTACTGATTATATAATAAAATGATTTTGCTTAATTTGTGAATTCTAATTTTCAAGACTTGATTATTTATGCATTATGTTGTTTCTAACATGTAATTGTGATTTCAAATTGTCATATTCGGTATATAATAATTAAAATGTTTTAGTATGACATTTTGTTCATTTTCTGAAAAATGAATCAAACACCAAAAGATAATTTTTCATCATTTTCTGGAAAATGAACCAAACACCAAAAGACAGTTTTCCATTGTGCAGCTAAACATAGGAAAGGAAAATGACTTTTGGAAAATGACTCATTTTCCAGAAGTCATTTTCCAGATTTCCAAACAGACCCTAAAATGAAAATATAAATATTTAATATTTTTTCTTTCCAGATTTCCAATAAACTACTAAATTACTAATATACATAAGCATATTGAGCAAATACCAATTTTGATCCCACGTGTATTAGTAAAATGACAGTTTTGGTCCACATGTTTAATTCCTACCAACTTTAATCCACGACTATTGTTTTAGTACCAATTTTCATACACAATTATTGTTTTAGTGCAAAAATTCATCACACCGGTCACCCCTTCGTTTAATACATGCCGAAAAATATGAAATTATTAAGGGTAGTTTTGTGTTTTTCAAATTAGGATCCCTATTTGAGCATGGATAAAGGTATTTAAGCCCTAAGATCTATCCCAATTCGCTGTTTTTCTCCTCAAATTATGGTAGGATGAGGAGGAGAATTGCGAATTGAGATCGATCTTAGCGCTTAAATTCATTTATTTATGTTCAAATTGGAATTTTAAGTTGAAAATGATGAAAATGCCCTTAAAATTTTTAGATTTCAAGATGTCTTAAATAGATGGGTGATTGGCATGATGAATTTTGGTACTAAAATAATAGTCGTGGATTAAAATGGTAGTTAAACAATAGTCGTGGATGAAAATTGGTAGAAATTAAACATGTAGACCAAAATCATCATTTGCTAATACTCATGAGACCAAAATTGGTATTTGCTCTAAGTATATTAGCAACTTATTAGTTAGTAACTTAGTATACAAAAGTAAGTAACAAAATTGGAAATATGAAAATAGAAATACAAAATTACAGACTACCGAATGACACATTAGTGCATTGAAAAATACAAACAACTTACAAGCCAAATTGAAATCCAAAAATAACATTTGACTAGTAAGTTATAAACTACGAACTTACTAAGTACATACTGATGGACCCCTCAGCTGACTTTGAGAGGAATCGGCCCAGGGTTGCCAGCCGTCCGTTGAGGCGTTGGACCTCCAGGAGGGACCTTGGAGGTTACATGTCCAGGATGGACTCGACTTTATCGGGGTTGGGCTCTATGCCCCTCTTAGAGACCATGTACCTCAGAAATTTTTCCTCCTGTACCCCAAAGGTGCACTTCTTGGGGTTCAGCCTCAAATTAAAATGTTTCATTATTGAAAATACCTAGGATAGGTCGTTTACGTAGGGGTGAATGCTCAGCAAAGTAGGCGAGATAGCTCCAGAAGTGGAGACAGTCACAACCGGCTCATTAGCAAGATCCAAAGGCGACAAAGAGAAAGGGGCGGCGGTAGAGGCCCCCCCACCCTCCTTGGAATCTATCGTCTGCTGATCGTGCACCTCGGGTCGGGATTCTCCATCTCGGCCGGCAGCTCCAAAATCTCCGAGTCGAAGGCGTCACTCTTCTGCCGCAGTGCGGTATAGATATCCTGCTGCATCTCATACTTGCCCAGCTGGTAGGCCAGAGCGCTCTCCCCCCCCCCACCCTCTCCTTGCTCGCCTCACTAGCAAGCCAAGAGGCCACTAACTCGCTGATGTGCTCCCGGGCATACGTCTCAGCATCCCGTGCGAAGTCTCTAGACCTCTTGTAGGCGGGGATGACACGTGCTAGCTCCTTGGTGTGACTCTTCCTCTCGTCCACTGCGACCTTCCTCTCCGCCTCCAAAGCCTTGAGGGCATCGTCAACGCGCCTAGTCTTTACCTCCAAAGCCTTGCGTGCCTCTTTTCTCATCCTCTAAGGCTCGAATGATTTCCTCAATGCGTGTACCGGGGGGGGGGGGGGGGTGTTAAAACGACAAAGCTAAGGGGTGCAAAAATTGTAATTAAGAGCGTAAGGAAGAGAGCATACCTCAAGGGAAGTCTAATATCTGTGGAGCGACCCTCTGTCTCTTAGCTACTAGGCCACACTCCACAACACAGTCAAGGCGTTCACAAACGAAGTCATGCCGGATGATCTCCTTAAAACCAAAGCAAATCAAGGTAAACACACGCAAGCAATATATATGGTTGGTGGACCAGGTAGGGGAAAAAGAAGAGACATCTAGACGAAGCACTTTAGGGGTCGGCAACGGGCTCGAAAAGAGGCTTGGCGAAGGCCTCGGCCGATGACCTCGAAGAATGCTCAGAATGATTAGACTCGCTCACCTTGATCTCAGGGTTTATTAGAAGATGTCCAGGTAGGGCTCTACATCAATGGCAAGACATCGAAGAAGAAAGGCAAGAAACATATAATGGGCGTTGGGGACTAGCTGCCCCGGGCTTACACCTTAATGATTAAGGAACTGTATCACGAACGGGTGGATGGGGAAGCGAAAACCGAGATTCAAGGATTGCACGTGGATACCAAAGAGGTGGGGTTCGGGGGGTTCCGTGACATTCTCTTTGAGGGGAGGTAGGTGTACCTCAACGGCCGAATCTGTGTAGCCCTTGGCCTCCTCGAATTCTTTCTCGGAGGTCTCGAACAAGGTGGATGTGGGAATGAGTGTTTCTAGCTTGGTGTATAAGGAGGGGTCTTTAAAAGGGGCGGAATCGGGGTCGACTATGAGAGGATGGGGGTCGTCTAAAGGGCCATCGTGTAGCGTGGTCACCTCCGTGGAGGGGGAGTGTAAGGCAAATGGAGAGGTGGTGTCATCAGTCGAATCCATAGGAAGGTCTCGGGTGTCTAGGTAGTCCAAAGAAATCATCTAGAGAGCTGGTAGAAGAGTGCATGCAAAAACATAAAGCAAAAAAGAGGAATAAAGGGGTGTGCTCTGCCGAGATCAACAAAAAAAAAGAAGCAAAAACAGAAACCGTACGAAATATGAGAGGAGGAGGCTTACCGTGCTAGGGCTTGGTGCTCGCGAAGGGAGCTCGGCGTAGCTCGGGCGACCTCGAGGAGAGGAGTTAGGAGATGAGAAGGAATAGTTTTGTAGTGTGGAGAATGAGAAGGAGGAGGGTGTTTATATAGGAAGTGGGGAGAGGAGGATAAGGGGAAAAAAAGGGGGGGGGGGGGGGGTGAATTCGAAATTCAAAAGGGAAAGAGAAAGAGGAAAGGTTGGGAGTGGTGAGAGATGATGGTTGGGATGGGTGGGCTTTTGAGGCATTTATAGGGAAGATGAATGAGACCTATTGGGACTCTACCGCTATTCATTTGAGTCCTAGCAAACAAAGGAGTTATATTCGCGATAGAACTCCACCATTATCGCGATGAAATATTTTTCGTGCGTGGATTATTGGGTCCCAGACGCGACGGTGGTGAGGTCGGGTTCGAGGGGCCTGATTCATGAGGTCAGATCTTGTGAGGTCTGATTTTAGGGGGTCAGAATTTACAAGGCGGGGGTTGGAATTTGGGGAGCGCGGTTTGGAGCATCTACTCTCCTTCGCTGACGACTTCTCGCAACTAGGAGAGTGGGGGACTGATGATGGATATATTGTAAATGGATCCAAACTGACCAGGGAAGGCGAAGCGGACCCGGGGCCCCGAGGTTGAGCTCCGTGCTCGACCCGGGCCGCCTCAGCATGAGGCCTCGGCAATGGGCCTTAGCCATGTTGCCCGGTCTCTGAACCGTGCACGTTCAAAGCGGAGATGCAACCGCTCCCCAGATTTAGGAGGGCAATTAGAGGGTCCGTAGTGTATAAATGGCCCCTCATTTTTCTCGTTAAGACATGTTCTATCGCTTTGTCCTAAACTATACTTGTAATAGCATTGCAACATCCTTGTAATAGCTTGATACCTCGTTACTAATACAATATTTGGTCCCCGCAACCCAACAACACATATTTTGTCCTATTACGCTATCCATTTACACTTTTCCTTAGTTATCGGGGTTTATTGATTCGGGCTATCCCAGATTAATTAAATCCATCACATACAAAAGATTTAGTTAT